AATGTCTTTAATAACGGTACATCTTTGTACCCAAAATGGATAAAATCGGGTGAAAACTTGCTCTGGCCCTCATATAACTAATATCGAAATTTTTAAACATCCGGTTGACTTTACTCCTTATACATTCGTATGGTATGTGAGGTACCTTAATGAAACTCATAGAGCATCTTTTTCTGTTAATAATATATATTAATGTCAAAAATAGATGAAATCGGGTCAAAACTACCTCTATATTATATAACTAGTATAAGATTTTTAAACCTCCGGTTCAGAAAATTATACTATACTACATATGGTATAATAACTTTATTCAAACAAACGTTATGCCGAATATGTGGATTAGTGTCTCAGTCATTTATTTATATAATTGCAATGTCAATTGTTAATGCAACAAGCCCAGACTATTCTCTGCCTCCAATTTACTTGTACCCTGTATAGTGATTTCCGACTTTCCAACTGATTTTTAACCGTTTAGGTTAGTCAAAATGTGTGATATTTCCATGAAATTAAGAGGACAAGTTTTGTTAAAATTGTAAAGGTATATAACTGGTTTAGTGCTGAATATGAATGGAGTTGGTTTGGGCTGCAGTCTAAACCTCATATCCGTAATACAAGGTGGGTTCCAAAGTAAACAGGACTTTTAAAAAGAAGACAGAACAAATGGTTTTATCGGCAAAATCAATTAATTTTATTCAACGCACGGTGCCATATTAGATAAATACGGGGAGTGGTTGATCGTTAAATGTGATTTTTGATCAAATAATCGGCCATAAGCGTCGATCGATGAGAACTCGCATTATGGTGCAACAAATGCCAACTTCCATCTTTGCGATATTCGGGCCCGCATTAACGTTTTGGCCGGGTGGAACAAATTCGTTTCGGTAAAAGTTTTACCAATTTTAAAACCAAATTTAATGTTGGCTCTTTGTTCGAAGCTCATTTTCGCACCGATGACAAAAACATACTGACACTTAAAACGCAATAACTTTACTTCCAATATATGAAATGTCATGAAATTTTTACTGGAAATCGAAAAAGGATAGCAGATTCTAACGCCCTAGTCGACATATAGATGGCGCCACTAGAGTTTACTTTGTTACTTTTTTACTGTTTACTTTGGAACGCACCTTGTATAATAAATTTCGATCGCCTGGATGGCTTTTTCCAAATCATCTCAATATATTATATTAAATGTAGCCTCTTCAGTTATGTTTATATCACTTATAACTCATTTGAATATGATTTTAACGTAATTTTATCTGACGCAAAATAGCATATAGCAATAAAACTAAGTGAGTCCGAAACCTATAATAAAACTTAATAAATTACCAATTTTAATTGTAATGCATTGACGATTTCGTCGATTAATAAATGTTGAATTCTTCGCAACATTTCTTTTCCTGCCCACCCGCTCCTCTTGGCGGAGAAGCTCTTTAATGGTATGGAGACCAACCACAACGCCTCTAGTTTATTTCCGGCTACACCCTTGTGACCAGGCACCCAGATGTGGTGTACTTGGTTACGAGCTGATGGGCTACTCAGCCGTTCTATACATTCCTGCATCTATAGCGATTTAATCTCATAAGCTGAGATCGCTTTAAGTGCCGCTTGACTATCGCTTAGTATGGCGCTACTTTCATTTCGATGTTTGCGTTGAAGGTTTATCTCTACACACCGTCTAATAGCATGTTTCTGCTTGGAAAATGCTCGGAAAACGTTCCAAAGCTACGGAAAGTTTAACACGCGGTCCTGCAACGCTTTCAATAATGCCTTCCAACGTTTTCGAGCTGTCAGTGTACCACTTAATAGTGCTGTCCCTTAGCAGTAGGTCAAGCGTGGAGGCTCTCCATTCAACTTTATTTCCTTGTGAAGTTTACCCTTTCGAAAATACTATTCCTCTGGAAAAGAGCCAGTGGTGCTTCATCACATAAGGCCTTTATTTGTTGGGACGAGATTATCTTCCCTCTGCCATAGCCTTCTGTTGTTATCTAAAGCATTGTATGTTTATCTGTTTGCTTGATTAGTAGATGAAGCGATGTTATGTGAACTTTATCGGCAACATGTTGAAAAATGGTTTTCTCTATATTTGGTTAAAATTAAATTTTACCGAAAGGAGTCTTCGTTAGTTTCTAACCAGAACATGAAATGACAGCAGTCAGCTGTAAAATCTATAAGCATAGAAGGAGTTCAGACGGAGATTCTTTAGTCGCTCATTACCGTTCTTTATTAAGCATATTTGCATTCATATATCATTATTACATACTAAAAAGGTTAAAAACATTTACATATCCGAACATAAAATTTGAAACCGAGCTCTGTTGCAACCGTGTAAGAATTTCACAATGAAAAGGAATGCCGAATTGCGTAGAAACGAGCTGTTACGGAAAATAATGCAAAACGTGCCACCCAAACACTTATACTCACTATATTTAGTCTTGCCATGAGTTCTGTTACAAGTGCGGACCAATATAAAAATTAAAATATAAAACATTTTTTAATAGAGGTAATTTTATTTAATAATGCATAAATGAAATAAGCGATATACAAATTTTTTTTCGAAATGGTCACCTTTTGTTTTCACCTATTCCTATTTTTGCTTCAAGCGCGTTGTCAGAAGATAACCAGTTGACCGACGGTAGGTTCTCATATGGAGATCACCTCCAATAAGTCTTGAAATTAATCTGGTGGATATATTCATTTAAAATGATTTTTCAGGGGATTTCGAATATCAAATTATGATATTATACCATGTTGATATAGGTAAATATGCGGCATATTTCTAAGGACTTTAAGTAACTTATAATTGGACAAACTGAAAATTCAATTTAATTATGAGTGGACGCAAAGAAATAACTATTAGTCATAATAATTCATATATTCAATAAAGCAAAGCTTATCAATGTCATACAAGTCATAATAATTTATTTAAACAATAAAGCAAAATTTATCATTGTATGATGTTTTCTCTAATTTAGGTATAAATTTATTTAATCACAAATTTTATTTACGTTTTATATTTCTAAAATAAATTATTTGTTGAAGTTGCAATGTCATTATAGTATAAAATATGGTAAGCATACCAGCTAGCTGTTTGTATTTCAGCATGTAGCGATGAAAATATGTACAATATTTTATTATAACACTTTACATAAAAAATTAATATATTATTATATAGTTCTATGTTTAGTTTTTGAATATATAGACTTCTTAAATAAATTATTTGTTAAAGTTCCAATATCTTTAAAATATAATATACGGTAGATATATTCCTTATCTAAAAAGTAGTTTCAAATTAGCTTACGCAACCCTGTTACGCAATGCTTTGAATATTTTTGACATGGACGGAATTATTTTTACAAAAGTGAGTTGTTCTTGAGTATTATTATTAATATAATTATTATTTTTGCATACATTTATAAACATTATCTTTAGGCTCGTTGAATTGAGCATTTTGTGGATCCCTTTATTTGACAGGGTTGCTTAATTGCCCCTTACATTTTTCTGTGGTGAATTTTTATTAATTTACCACAGTTAAAATGAGGCAAAAAAATATATCTTAGTTAATATATATGTTTCCAATAATAGTCGCTCTTTTAAGAACATATATTAAAATAAACTGGTTTTATTTTGACAAAATACTAAAGTTTTAGATATAACCAATATATTTGGGACAAGTTTTTCATAAATGAAAAGAAAATAGTAGTATGCAACAATTTTCCGGTCAAAAGTCGGCCATTTTGAATTCAATAGAAACTCAACCCCTAGGCGGACTTGACATTTCTCCAAGGACACCAGTCAGCTGTCGCTTTGTTTACATCTGATCAGCTGATAGTTCTCTACTCCCCCTTTACGATGCTCTACACTCTTTTGTTAACAAGCGGAAGCAAGCACTGGAGTGATTATTATATAATATATGAGCAAAGAATAACGGCACTTGCTGTGTTATCTGAATCGGATTCATACTTAACTATTGACCATCGTTTTGTAATATTTCTATCTCGACTAATTATATGCTCTTACAACTTATGTGGCAGTTCATACTTGCTGAGCAATTGTGCTGCATGTGAACGAGGTCTTGAAGAAGAAAGTCCAGAAGTGAAAGGGGCGGTTTCTGATGTGGGAGACGATTGTATCCTTCTTAATAAAATGTTCTCACAAAATTATGGATTTATTTCTTCTTCAACAACCGTCGATTCACCAGTCCCATCACTCGGTGAGACATTATGTAACTTCAATTATGTAAAATGTATGTGTATATTACTTCAATTATAAAGCTATGTTTTGTAGAAAAAAAACTTATATATTTTATTTCCAAAAATAATGCGGCTACATATATATACACAAAAATATGCATTATTATCTGCTGGTTGATATGATTAGGTTTATAAATAGTATTTTTACTTACTTCTATTATTCATTAGAGCTTGTGTTTCTTTAGCTAAATAGCGCATTTTCCTATGTACTTACATTTTCCTGTTCCTTTAAATAAAAATAATAATATAAAATAACTGAAGTTGTTTTCCAGTTATTGCAATTTATTTTTTAGCTAGTCTTACTAATACCGAACTACCGAAAATCTATAATATAGTTATACATAGGTTTAACGGGACGCGTTCATCTAGTTTTGGTTAAGACTACCTGATATTTAATCGATTTCTTTGAGCAATCCTGTAATTGTCAATACGTATATTTAGCAAAAGACTAAAGACTATGAATAAGAAAGCGATAGAATATCATTCGTAAGCAAGAGCTACGGATAGTTTTGTCTATTTGTCCATAGGAATTTATAGAAGCTTCAAGACAGATATTTTGTAGTGCTCTCAGTTAATGGACGAATAATTGAAAGCAATCCAAACCATACAAATGTTGTTGGTGTAGTAGTGGCAAAACAAACATATACAGATAATTTTATTCTATTATTTACCGTTTCCTTAAACGCATAAGCAATGCGTTTGTAAAATACTGTAAGCCCGTTTTACATTTCCTGTATATTAAGCATAGACTTCCTTTTTGTATCGTGGGCTTTACGTATGTGGGTGAGTTCTCCTTAAGAAAAAATTCTAAAAAAGACATTAAGGTTTTCGGTGGCTGGTGTATATTTGTGTCTAATACGCAATAAAAATTGTATATGGTAATTCTTTATATCTCGCTGTGAGCGTTTCACATCTAATTTTGATATATTTTCGTAGCATCCGCCGATACGAAATATACGTGGTGTAAACTTAAAAGAGATACATCCTTTTGTAATCGGATTCTCAATTTTTAGGTTCAAAGGTAATTCATCATGCCTCAAAATGAATATATGGAACGACACCTTAAACTTTATGGTAGGCGATTAGATTATGAAGAAAGGAAGAGAAAGAAAGAAGCTCGACTACCCAAGGAAAGGGCACGAAAGGCACAGAAGTTGCGTGGAATTAAAGCGAAACTGTTCAATAAAGAACGTCGACATGAGAAAATACAAGTTTCTAAGAAAATAAAAACGCATCAAGAAAATAAGTGTAAAAAAGAGGCTGCAAAGAATGAAGAAGGTGCCCTTCCACACTATTTATTGGACAGAGGCCAACGCGCTAATGCCAAAGTACTGTCCAATATGATCAAGCAAAAGAGAAAGGAAAAAGCTGGTAAATGGGACGTACCGCTTCCAAAGGTACGGGCCCAATCAGATGCGGAAGTATTCAAAGAGTTGAAAACTGGCAAAACGAAAAGAAAATCATGGAAACGTATGGTAACAAAAGTAACATTTGTTGGAGAAAATTTTACAAGAAAACCTCCAAAATTTGAAAGATTTATAAGGCCAATGGGTTTAAGAATGAATAAGGCTCATGTAACCCATCCAGAACTCAAGACCACATTTTATCTTCCTGTTATTGGCGTTAAGAAAAATCCTAGCTCACCTATGTTAACATCGTTAGGAGTTATTACAAAAGGAACCGTGATCGAAATAAATATTTCAGATTTAGGACTTGTTACTCAATCTGGGAAAGTTGTTTGGGGAAAATATGCACAAGTAACAAACAATCCAGAAAACGATGGTGTTATCAATGCCGTATTACTCGTATAAATTTATTTACCTAAAATACCTATATTGTGTTAATAATTTAATAAACAAGATGATAAATTGACTTCATTAAATTAAATATACCTTTTATTTTAGAAGTAAAATAATTTTTTAGATCATTTATTTTATTTTTTTTCACTAGGTTTGTAAGATTGTTCAGCAATGCAAATTTTCGTAAAAACCCTTACGGGCAAGACCATCACTCTTGAGGTTGAACCTTCGGATACTATTGAACATGTTAAGGCCAAAATTCAAGATAAGGAAGGTATTCCGCCAGATCAACAGCGTCTAATTTTTGCCGGAAAACAGTTGGAGGATGGTCGCACATTGGCTGACTATAATATTCAGAAAGAGTCTACGTTACATTTAGTCCTTCGTCTTAGAGGTGGCGCAAAGAAACGTAAGAAGAAAAACTACTCGACTCCGAAAAAAATTAAACACAAAAGAAAGAAGGTTAAGTTAGCGGTTTTGAAATATTACAAGGTATGACTGAAATTGGATGTAATATATCTTTAAGAGTTAAATCACATCTTGATAATTTAGGTCGATGAAAACGGAAAGATACATCGCCTACGTCGGGAATGCCCGGGTGAAAACTGTGGAGCTGGTGTTTTCATGGCAGCTCATGAAGATCGCCATTACTGCGGAAAATGCCAATTAACATTCGTATTTTCAAAACCAGAAGATAAATAAACTATTCTAACAAGTTTGTTAAACCAATATATAAGAAGTTAGTCTTTTTCAAATTTTATTATAGGTAAACCAGAATTCTCATAATTGCTTCTCAACTTTTATACGAGTTATATGAATTTGGAAAATCCAATTAAAAAATAGATCGCATCGCTATGTGATCACATTGTTTTTCGTTTCGTCATGTCATGGCAATTGCATTAGCCTTATTACACCGATTATCCAGACCCTTTTTCTGCGCGGTTTGCACCGTATTTTATGCTGAATGAAGCTGCGCATTTTTAAACAAATGTGCGAAATGTATCTTATAAACTTTTCACTGATAAGTTTGATAGCAAAATTATCGATTTTTGATAAGTTTAAAAAGAAAGTGAATCGTTAAAAAAATTAATTTATTACGAAGTTTTAAACGTTGAACACAGCTGGCGACAAGCGACAGGCAGCATCTGTCAAATATTAAAATATGCACGTTCTTATGTGCACAGTTATTTAGCCAACAGCACGACTTCATGGCAGAAGGCTTGCGGTTGTTGCTGCCGTTAACTTAAAACGGGTTCTAATTTTTTCAACGTCGGGAAACTTATAGTTTTCGAGATATTTACGTTTAAAGTTGAAAATTTCAACTATTTAAAGTTCGTATTTTTGCGATTTAAAATGAATTATACACTTATCTTTTTCACTTTTATATCCACTAACACTTGACTAATTCGCTTTTAGAAATTTTTTTTATATAAGATTATGCAAAATTTTTTTATATAAGTTGCAAAAATAGCAATGCAAAAAGAAGTTCTACAAGAAAAAGTAATATTGTCATAGAGGGTATAACATAATACTTAACATCAATGCTTTGTAATAGTTTATTTCTCTTGGTTTTGCATTCCTGTATTGGGGGAATCTGTTTTAATATATTTCAGTTCAATTACGAAATATGTCGATAAGGTAACACTGGTTATTTGAAATTTTGCAACCCTTTAGTTATTGTCAGAATTATTAGAATTTAACAATCATTGAATTAAACTATTTTTGCACTACATAATGTAAAATAAATGTGTACAAACGAATTAGTGAAGTGTTAGTGGAAAATATAAGTGTATAATTCATTTGAAATCGAAAAAATGCGTACTTTAAATAATCGAAATTTTGAACTTTAAACCCAAATATCTTGAAAACTATAGGTTTCCCGCGGCTATATCTATATATATTCTTGATCTGGAGAATCTCCCCTATCCGCCCATACCCATTTTATCCCCGAAAGCCTGGGACGTTAAATTAAAGTTTTCCAAAATTGTGTACATTAGTTGTTTGATATGTCGCTGCCGTCTTCAAAATGTTCAAGAAGCTGGCGTCAAAGCGTTAAAGTCTAACGGATTATTCCAAATAAGATGCCTTTTGTGCACTTGACGCACTCTTTCTACTATATCTTATAAAATTAAAACAAGAAAAAACTTTTACTTCGGCGGCGCTGATGCAATAATACCCTTCACGACGGAAAACATTTTGCTAGTTCTTTCTAACCAGGTTGCTTAATATTAGCTATCTTCTATTCGAATTAATGTTAGTTAATAATATACCTTTCAGACATTTACATAAATTTTAATTTTTTAAACTGATTGATTTTTCATATTATATTTATAGAAAATATATTAATATTTATTATTCTATATTACTTTTTTTTAATATAATATGTAATACTATGTTCGCACCGAATTAAAATCCTCTTGAAAACACAATTTGTGGATTGTGGAGCCAAAGTCGTTCTGACCGACATTGTGTTTTCGATGAGTTTTCATTGACAGTTCACACATCTATTTGTTATGTACCCTAAAAGAACAGTGACAGTCATCTGATGGGTAATATGACAGTCATAGCTGAAAAAATTCAATGCGCAGAACAAAGTTTTCATTTTCTTAAGAGCCTTGTTTTCTTTTTGTTTGTTTGTTTTGTTTTTCTGAGTCATTGCTGACCATAAATCCGTCATAGCTGAAAATTGTCAGTTATGACTGAAACGCTATCAGAAGTGAAAAATTCTTTTGCGCAGTAGATAATATAATTTTTAGTTCTTTAATATTTTTCAAACTTTTAATCAAAATTAGTTATAATAATATATTTATATATAAAAAGGAATGTAACAAAAAATATAATAAAATATGAAAATATAAAAATAAATTTTCACTTGATGCCATCTCCTCCGCTCAATAGCTCCGCGTACGTCTTTTTCCAATCAGTGGATAGTTCTGAATTTAAAAATGCAAAAGTAAATTAACAGTACTGACATATCAAATGTGAGTGTATTGGTGAACCCATCAGCACTTTCTTCTAGGGTACGTTTAGGCAAATTATGGAATGTAAACAAATTGTCAACTGACATTTAGGGCTGGCAAAATATGTCTTCTAATAATATCGATTAAACTAGAGCAAGCACCATTATAATGAGTGGAATGTAAGTTTTCAAAGGGTTTTCAGCGAAAACTGTGTTTTCGTTTGACAGATTTTGTATGGATGAAAACACAAGTTTTCGCGTGAAAACCTCTTTTGTCTATGAAAACACGAATTTTGTGTCGGTGCGAACATAGTGTAAAACAATGTACCTTTTAGAGCTGAAGAGTTATACCTCTCAGAGCAGTTTATATAGTCACCAGAAAATATGTATATGTAAATTTATTATTCCGTTATTGGTCATGTTTTGTTTTATAGATTAATCTAAAGTTTATTTCATAAAAATGAACTGTACAAAACCAAGGTATCCTATTTAAAACCAGCAAAATGTAAGTAGATTTCTAGGATAAAAACTATCGATAGAATTGTTTTAAACTATCAAAACTATCGAGTGGTCCGACTATCAATAGTTTTGCAGCTCTAAACTCTAAATACTCAAAAGCAATACTATTTATCAGGCCAATATTGTCAGTGGCGACTGAATTGCACTTTGCTTTCGTTTGCCTAAATAACATCTTGACAACTATTATCGACAATAAGCAGTGATTTTGGAGGTTTGACAGCCTTGTTTTCATTTGCACAAGACTTAACATGCACCTAGTTTTCGGCAAATGATGTAAAAAGATAATATTCCAGTGCTTGAGGGTTTTATATGTTGGGTAAACAGTATTTTGCCAAAAAGATATTAAAAATAATAATTGCAACAACTTACGAAAATAGTAATAAAATACATAAATCCATTAAATGTGGTAAATAGAAAATATGAAAAATTTATATATATAAGGCTTGAGACATATAAAATCTGAAATCTTTTTCCAAATGTATCAGCCCTTTTCTGAGACATCCTCACATCTTATTTGTGAACCTCATAAGAAAAAAGCTTAACAAAATAACCACGTGACGTGAAAAGCATTCTGCTGTCAAAGAGCTGTTTTATAAAAATAAACAACTCAAAATAAAGAAATGGATTGCCCAGAAAATTTAATAACTTTGATGTAAATATAATAATTTCATTTATTTTCTGGCTTACAAAATGTGGTTTTATTTCTTTATTTTCATGATGTGCGTGTTATGCTATATCGGTTGTTTTTGTAATGTAATGTACAACTCAATGCATGTGCTTGTTTGTTTATATTCAAGTTCTTAAACTGACTAACCCTTATGTTAGTAACCAACTTTACCGACGTCTTTTAGTAACCGGGTACCCACGATCTGAGTATTAAAAATTTTGTTTTTTTTATTAAAATTTTTTTTTTCTAAACTCGAGCATTTTTTTGTATGTAACAGATTTTTGGTGGGATCAGACGTGTTTCATTTGGTGTTCTCTGGACAGTGAAAAATAAAGCTATGGAACAATTATCGAGAGCTGACTATGCTCGGTAAGTAAGGTATACTTAACATTTGTAAATATTTTAATTACAATTTTGTGTAATATAATTATAATTATTTGCGACGTATATCACATAATATTTTATTTATTAGGTTAAGTGCAACCGAAAGGAATGGGTACTTAAGGAAACTACGTGGAGAACACGAGAGTGATTCGAGTAGGGTTTCTGATAGCAATGACGAAGACTGGATTCCAGAAAATAGAGCTAGACATCAAAATCAATCGAATAAGACACGGGAGCAGTATTCGACAGTTGGATTTCACGAGATGGTTACCATGTGTTCCTACGATCCTAAAAAAAATAAATCTGTCATTCTGACTGTCTCTACAATGCATTCAGATATATCAGTTGGTGATGACGCTAAACGAAAACCAGAAATAATAAATTTTTATAAAAAAAATAAAGCTAGAGTTGACACAATGGACCAAATGGTGCGGAGATACACCAATCAACAACGATCTTCGAGATGGCCAATGACAATGTTCTTCAACATGCTACATATTTCTTCACTTGCGGCATATATAATTTATTAAGAAAATAATAAAACTATTGTCAAAAAAAAGACAGAACGTCGTCAATTTATGCGTAAACTAAGTGAAGAACTAGCATTGCCGATGATTGAACATAGCACGGCGAATCCACAAGTAATGGGCCTCTTCTCAACAAAGATTGCCATTGAAAGTGTACTAGGCCATATACTGACAGAAACAGTCGTGATAGATTTGCAAATGAGGTATGCACTGCGACCTAGGGTCTATTGTGCCCTGTCGTGATAAATCCTGGTCCAGAGAAACCAAAACATAAAACTGGAAGGAAAAAAGTAACAGGATCTTGTCATGTCTGCAATGCTTTGCCAATAAGAAGACGGCGAAAAACAAGTAAGGCCTGTGCCAATTGTCCCCAACCTGTGTGTGACGAGCACTCAGTTAATCGTGTACAATGTGTTCAATGTCATTAATTATAAAAAAATGTGTAATATTTCTTTATTTTTTAAATAAAATTTAGTTTCCTATGCTTTCCACTGCATTAATAGAAATGGTTGCTAATAGGGCTGGCTAGAGTTTAAGCTTATTTAAAAAAAAAATAAAATAAAAAAAAAATCAGTTAAATGAACTCACAAATAGCTTTCTTTTAAGTTAAAAAACGACGATTTGAGAGCTTAAAATGAAATATTGAATTTTTTTAAGCTATTCACACAAATACACCGCGGTGGATACCCGGGTACCCGGTTACTAACATAAGGGCTAAATATGTTTGTATTATTAAATGTTGAATACATGTGTATTGCGTGCATACTAGCCCTACAAAAAACTGCTGATGGGTTCACCAATACACTCACATTTATTATGTCAGTACTGACAGTCATATGTACAGTAAAATGACTGCCAGTGTTTACGATTTTTCCAAAAGCAAATTCTGTATACGCCGAAAAGAGACAGTAAACATTTCCATAAAAGTTTCGAGAAGTTGTGAAATAACAAAAATGTTGCATGCTCCTATGCAATAACTCTTTTTATGCTAAAAAAATATATAAATATAGAACGAGTTTTCAAATATAATATGCGCAAGTTATTATAAAGTTTCAAATAAAAGTATATTTTTAGTTAATTTTCATTTTTATTTAGGCATTTTTAAATATTAGGAAATATTCATGAACTGGAGAAACACGTACAACAGAGCTTTAGAGAGGAACAAGCATGAAATTAAGTGAAAATTTCTTTTCATAATTTATTTTTTAATTATATTTTTGTTGCGCTTCTTTTTTACATTTACATATATGTATATAACTATAACTAATTTTAATTAAAATTTTTGAATCTATTAAAGAAATAAATATTATATTATCTACTGCGTAAAAGAATTTGGCACTTGTGATAGATTTACAGTCATAACTGACAAATTGCAGCTATGATAACGTTTCAGTCATAACTGACAATTTTCAGCTATGATGGACTTGTGGTCAGCAATGACTCAGAAAAAGACATGAGTGTGAGCAGTATGGATATATAGTGAATCAATTCCGAATACCCATGTGTTAAAGAGAGATGCCAACTCTGACACATGCGTTTGTTGTGTTCTGCGCGCTGACAAAATTTTTTCAGCTATGACTGTCATATGACCGGTCAGATGACTGTCACTGTTCTTGTTAGGATGTTTCTTTTGCTTTTGTTTTGTATTATCTTGTATTGTATGTGTTCTTTTAATAGTTAAGATTACATATTTTCGTGTGAAGAATTCACCAGATCTTTGAGAATTCTATTATTTCATATTACATATGTATATATAATATAATAACTGAATTATTTAAGCATAAATATCTTTTTATTCGTACATGTATTAAATGCATACATACATATTTACAAATAACATCTTGGCCGAATTCGTTAAGCATACATATATGCCTTTTTAGTCGTACTTAGTAACTTAAAAAAGAGTTCCCCCATTATATTTCAATATTTACAAATTTGTTTAGTATTTGAACTTTTGAATTTACGCCGGCATGAGGTAAACTAGTCACCCCGTCACTATTGTGAGGACAAGTGAACAGGGCTGTTAAGCAAGAATAACGTCATAAAATAAACCTCACAACAAACCTCATAAATTTTTCCACACAACGTTGTTGTGAAGTTTTATTTAAATAGGGCTGTAGATTACAATTAAAGGTTTATGAAACAAGATGAATTATCAAGATTATGGAATATGGTTTAAAGATTAAAGTTTGTGAAATAAAATTAATTTCCCGATATAATAAAAAACATAGAAAAATAAAGATTTATTATCTATATTATATTATATTTATGTATTTAATTATCAATTCTCATATAATATTGAGTCGAATATTTTCCTCGGTGACAAAATACTGAGAGAGTACAATCGGGCACAAGTCTTGTCAACAACTCTTTTGTATCCGTGAATCTGCGGTTATAAAATGGATCCAGTGGAAACAACACTGATAAAGGGATATCATCTTCGTCAGTTTTATTGAATTCTGGTCCAGTGGTTGAATAGCGACTGTGTCATTCAATTGAAGAAGCATACAAAAAAATGCCCCACATTAGGACAACAACGATTCGGTGATATAATTGCCTTTAAGCAAGTTATTTTGAGCATTAAAGTGACATACTTTTAGGACAAATAAAAATTTACATAAATTAATAAATAAAACCATATCGTACTTATTTTTAGAATATTGTAATAAATGAGGAAGGAATTTAAGTGTTGTTAAAATCAAACTGTTTTGTGGTATTACAATACTGTCAGTGGGGTTGACTAGAATACCAACAAACTTCCTTGAGCATTAATGAAAAATAGAGAGTGGATAAACAAACTATAATAATTATTTTTTACAAATGCATACAAAATAAGTAAAATTTGAAAACTTCTTGAAAATACCGAAACTGCCCCAAGAATGGAGAACAATAATGGCATCTGTAGGGCCACAAAGTTTTTTTGTAACAAATATCGAAAAAGCGAAAAGTTTAAGTGAAGTTGTAACAGCGATAAAATACAAAGGCCGAGTAATGATGCTATGTGTGGTCAGCTATTAGTTTAACTTTATTCGTAAAATTCTTCTCCTTAAATAATATTCAAAGCAATATTGCAATACCGGTCTATACATAATTTCCACTAAGTACATATTTTCGTTTTCTATTAGTGCATATATACATAAGTATGTAAGTTATATAAATTTAACAGTTCAAAAAAGAAGTATAACCCAAGTACATACTTTACTCTATTGCTCCTTCGTATATAATGTAGTTATTAACAAAAGAGAAATATAAAAGAATGGGAACGCAGCATTGGAAGAGGCTGCTTACATATTAAGCTTAGTACAATTTAAATGGGACTAGCTAATGTGCACAAACAAATATTCATGTAATTGCGTGGACAAAAACATAGCGGTAGCATAAGTGTACAAAGCAAGCGCAAGTAAGCAATAAATATGTAAGAATGTACCAAATGCAAATACAATTATTAACTGCATTGAAGTGATTGACTTCTAATGCTTGCCCTTGAATATTAGGCAAATAAGTAGAGAACAAGAAATAGCAAAAATATATAGAACATATGACCGTATAATGCAGTGGTTCTCAATCGGTGACTCAACATCCCGGCCCCGTTGAAAGGTATTTCAAACAGGTAGAAGGGCTAGCTTGTGAATTGGTCGCCGAATGATTCCCTTCGTTGTTCAAATGTCCATCACATGCACTTTAGAGTCCTTTCGTGGAATACAGTTTATAACTCTTCCAATATGCCATTTTTGTGGTGGTAAGTTGTCTTCATGGATGACTCCGCTCTGGGAGTGCCCTAAATGAACTACCAATAATAAAATGCCCCGGAGTTAATACTTCATAATAATTTGGATCCGATGACATTGGTGTTATTGGACGAGAATTTAATACAGCTTCTATCTCAACCCGGACTGTTGTTAGTTCCTCGGCTGTGAGTCTTGCATTTTTGATGGAGCGATTGAGGTGACTCTTAGCCGATTTGACTAGTGCCTCCCAAGTACCGCCGAAATGAGGTGCTCTGGGAGGAATAAAATTTTCATTAGCACAATATTTTATAATAGCATCTTTGATTTCGGTTTTAAATAAAAATGACTTTAATTCAGCTAGTTTGTTGCAAGCACCCAGAAAATTTGTTGCGTTATCGCAAAAGATGTCAGAGGGTAGACCTCTTCTTCCAATCATGCGTTGTCGCTAGACAAACGAAGATCCCAATGTACGCTTCATAAGGTGTTTTGCCTCGAATACGCAAATATTGCGCACCGCGCAAAATGACGAGATGAAGTTAAGCGCTCGATAGGTAACTGTCCCATTACTTGGTTCATCAGCTTTGGCTTGTAGCGTATACAATGTGTGCACATCTGACGATTCGTCTTGCTAAATCGCGCGCATTGACTATCCAAATCTAAGTGCTACGAGTGCTTTTGGTCCTGCATGGTAGTGTTTCCGATGTAGATGACGAACGTAATGCACAACAAATTCGCATTTGTTTGGCAACAGCATTGGATGTTTTCTTTCTTCCGGAATATCTGTTGATTCCAATCGACCTCCAACTTTGAGTATTTGAAATCCATCGGTATACTCGAGAAAAGGATTTAAATAACGTAACGGGCCATTTATAGATGAATTTCATTAGCGAAATGTATGTGTTGAATATTCCAAATTATGCAAAGAAAGGCGAAATTTATTGATGAAGCGGAACATCCAAGCTATTAATCGAAGGCTGCTGGTGTAGTTACTCCGCTGATTCACAATTTCCAAAATGTAATTGGTGCTAACAATTGTATTGAATGCTCATTTTCGTTTCTCCCTATCGACAACTTCCATGTCGATATCATCGCAGCTGTTCTTTGGCCACTTATCTGAGTTTTCGTATAGAAACTTTGGTCCGGTGTACCATATTGAATTAACAAGTTCCTTTACAGTACATCCTCTAGAGGCAACATCCGCTGGGTTACAATGCGTTGGTATATGTCTCCAATGGGCTCCTTTGGTTAAATCTTGAATTACCGAAATTCGATTACCAACAAAAGTCAAAGGTGTTGCATATTGCATCTTAAGCCAATGTAATACTATTTGTGAGTCTGTCCAAAGAAAAATGTTAAAAGATTTGTTAGAAATTGTTGGTTTAATTTTTGCTAAAAGACGAGCAAAAAGAAGAGCGCCGCTAAGTTCTAATTTGGGTGACGATTGGTTTTTGGTAGGTGCCACTCTGGACTTCGCAGTGCGTAGGCGAATGATAGTAGTAGTGCCACATTTGCTGATAACGCGAGTATATATTGCGCAGCCATATGCACGAATCGATGCGTCACAAAATCCATGTATCTGAAGAGATTCCACATCTGTCGAAAAACAGTGCCTCGGCACTTTAATTAGTGAAAGATCCGATAAGCAGTTAAGAAACTTTTTCCAAGCAAATTCAATGTTCTGTGGCACAGATTCATCCCAATCCAACTTTAGTAGCCATATTTCTTGCAACAAAATGTTTGATGTTATAATAACAGGAACTAAAAGTCCAAGTGGGTCGTAAAGTGATGATGCAACAGAAAGGATGGAACGTTTTGTA